CTTATTTTCAATAAGCAATCCTGAAAAATATTTGGGGGTGCTTAACTTTTTTCCAGGTGTATATATACATACACACACGAATTTTATTCTTTGTAAGGCTATAATTATGGATAAGTGTTAAAATGTTTTAAAATAACATGTACTGAATGATGATACTAGGAATACTAACATGTTCTCCAAATTTGATGACCACATTTTTTTTTTTTTGTAGTGTTTGAAAGTTTGAGCTAAACTTGCAGAAACTATAAATCTACTACAGGCTGAAGAACAACAAATTTCTATTAAATATAACACAAGAACAATCCACTAAGTAGATATTTTGTACACTGACATTTCAGCTTTATTAACAGTTTATAAAATGTCCCGTAAGAAGAAGTTTTTCGTTTACTAATTAATTTCACTTGCACTCAATTGAAGGATATGACATTACTGACCAAAGTGAAATGTCAAATAAAGGTAAATATCATTTGAGTAATAAAAAACTTAACACATTTCTGTTTCTATGGCTGCTTTATTGAAGAAAATTTTGAACTACAGATCATTTGTTTGTTTTTTTATGGTTACAATAACAGTGAAGAATTCATTTTTCTCTTTATCTCTAACCTTATTTTGTGTTTTTAAGAGTAATGATGCTCAATTACTTCACAAACATGATACAACCTACATTTATCAACACTTCATTTTCTTTCTTCTTGCTTAAAATTCTGTCAACAGGGAATGATTTTCAGTCCTCTACATACTAATTTGATACTGGAACAAGAAATTAGGCCAAAAATAAATATTAATAAATTTCTGTATTTCTTTGACCATCTGCAGCTAGATAATAAAACTACTTTCATGGAAACCACAATGACTGCTCAATTTATATCATAGGGCCCTGGTTGTTGTTGTGGACTCCAACATGTACAAATGCAGTCTACAAGCTACATTTAGCTGCTTCAGTAATTATGCTTCTAAGTCAAGGCCAAGCCCAAGTTTGTGACCTCCTTGGTTGAAATTCTTGCCATCAACCAAAGAAGAAAGAGTCAGTTGAACACCTGGATAAATAAAAACTTATTAAATTTTTATCTAGCATTCAGAATACAGTTCTTTGATATCAAAACCCATGTTATGTCCAGTGTGTGAAAAATTTTATATAAAATTTGTAAAAATGGAAAAACATAAAAATCACTTCAAATATAGGTACCTAATACACTTACACTTTTGACTCTGCAAAGTTCATATGTACATTATCATTATAGTATGTACAAAAATACACAGAACAATGAGGTTAACATACCCATAGTGCTCCTTATCACCTTCAAAGCTTTAATATCCTTCAGTTTCAAGTGTTATTCCACTTGAATTACATTTGTTAAATAGAAGTTATTAAAAAAAAAACACAAAATATGCAAGACATTAAACCATATTAAAAAAGGAGCAAAATGACATCAAGTTTTGAAAAAATATGTGATCTATCCCTTCAAAAAAATATTATTATCAAAATGTTGAGATTTTATATTTCTTTTGATGCAAGTTTCATTACCATTTGTTTTTGGATGACTTAATTTAAAAACAAACAAACAAACTTTTGGCCCAATTTTTTTTTTTTTTATCCCTGTTGTAATTATTATTAAGATGGTGCAAATCATTAAATTTTCCACCTGCACCTGTTGGTAGAAGATATATAGTTGTTGTTTGAAGTTAAGCACAAAGCTACACAATAAGCTATCTGTGCTCTGCCCACCACGGGTATCGAAACCCGGTTTCTAGCGTTGTAAGTCTGCAGACATACCACTGTGCCACTGGAGGGCGTTGGTAGAAGAAACTAAGCAAAAAAAATCTCTAAACTTGGCATTTCTTTGAGGCTAAATTTTAGCCCAAATAGTTTGAAAACAGTCAATTTTTAAAGTTGATATAAAAAAATTTTAAAATTAAACTACCTCCAAGTTTTTAACACACATAAAACACCTTTATACAGTGACCTATGGTAACAATTTACATACTCAACTTATCCCTAGCCATTCCTGTAGCCTGTGACTAACATACATCAATGACATCAAATTCATTGCAATTAAACCAAAGTGCAAATTATGCCTCAAATTGGTCCTTTCTGAAAGGGGTTACAGTACAAAATTTTTAATTTTTTCTATTCCCACTGTAAATCCAGGCAAGGCACAAAATTTTTTCATTTTGAAAAAAAGTCATACATTTAATGTTGAACCCTATCATTAAAAAAAAGGTACAATTCCAGCACATAAAAAAAAGAAAAAGGCAACTTAACAACTTACTGGCAGTTGCACAGTGGTATTAGAAGAAAATAGTATTCCATTGCAGCTAAAAAGAGGAATATCCACAGAAATTGTAAACAAGATAATTCACATGGAGTTAGGTCTATCAAAGCAATCTAGCAACCATGTTCACGTTTCTCCCACAGCACAGAGCAGAATGTAAGATTAAGTAGCATGTGACAAACGGAAGCACATTAACACACTGTACAAAATGTCTAGTTCAGTATCTGCAAAATTCCATATAATTAACCATCATCCTGCCAGTAATATAATGTCTTTAAAAAAGTACAGACAGACCGTACATGTTAAAGATTTCCAAGAGGTTTATGCTTACTCCACTTCCGAGAAAAAAATAATCCTCTACAAAGTGGATGCCAATTAGGTATAGCATCCAGCCAATCTTAGAAGTCAACAGGCCAGTCCCTCTGCAAGTTACTGTACAAATTGGTGTTCAACCCACAGGCATCTTCCACAAACCTTGTGCCTTTGGATTGGTCAAACGGTCCTCACAAGTTGTCATCAGTGCACACAGAAATGAGCAACTTTGAAAAGCATGTAAAAATGAGGAGTGAAAGCAACACTGGTCTCAGTCTATTGTGCAACAGTCTCCTGCAGTGCAATAATCAATAAGCATGGATATCACATGGAACACAAACATTAATGGAAGAAGAGAATGTAAAGCATAAGTACTCTTTCTTGTATTTGTACTCTCTCTGTGGGAAAGAGCATGAGGTTATTTAACTCTCACAATGAATTGTTTTCTATACTTTTAAGTTGAAATTTAACAGTAAAGGAAATAAGCTCATTCCAGGTTTATAAAAAAAATGTTACATCAGCTGTACTTGACTACTATCCTTATGAATTATAATTTAATTCCTTAACTGGCAAGCCTGATACATGTTTATGATAGTTCAGCTTTGCAATCCCAGCACCAAAAAAAAATTACATGCAATATACAGCAGAGTTCTACAGTCTGTGAAAAGACAACATGTCAGTAACATATGTACATTTTCACCTACATAAATTTTATATTTTATCCGGATCACATTATCTATCAATAAGACATGACTGCCATATGGAAGCAGAAGTTGTCTTCACACAATATTTTTGTTTTATTGATGAATACTACTAGTAAATCTAGTTAACAAGCTTCAGAATGGAACTTGTCCAGAAAGAAAGGAAGAAAATGGTGGTGTGCCACTCACATAAAAAAAAAAACTTGCTTCACAACTTCTCACCTGGAAATGGCTATAATTGTTGTCAACTGAAGCAGGGAAAATATGCAAATAATGTGCATATAAAAGCCAGAACATAGATTCAAAGAGTACACAGCATTATGTCTGTGCATAGATGTATGTACAAGGTTTTAAATGCTGAATATGTGCAAAAACCCAAATTTCACAATTCACTTCAAAAACACATACCAGTAAATGGACCACTAACATCTTGAAAAATGTCAGTAAAAGTGTTAAATATGAGATCTTAGGAGAATAAAAAATAAGTTTTACAAATTAAATTTGGACACTTACCATCTCTCAATCTGTGAGTGAAGCCTAAACCAATCTGGCTGGAGTTATTTATTTTGGCCTGAAAAATTAATATTGTACAAATTACTGCTATTCCTCAATAATAATAATAAGTTACTATCATAATAGTCAGGACCACAAATAAATAATTCCAAAAACTGTTCAACAACACTAAGAAAACCCAACTATTGTATAATACTTCAATATAATTACATACACTGATGACCAAGTGACCAAAATTCCCAAATACTTTAGTACCAATGAAGTTTCATTTTCAATTAACCCAATCACCCAGGGTACCCTTTACTACACACGACAAAGTTTTAATGTCTTAAATTCAAAATTTTATTCAGCTACTTTATGTTTACGTTATACCAATTAGAATAACAAAATCTTAGCTAATAATTCATATTTTAATAGTATACAAGTTTTAAGTTCTTAATTCTACAAGGCAATATTTAAAACAAATCCTGAATTTCCACTAGTGTGACCCACATGACACATTGTCTTAGCATGTCATCATCCCTATTTTATCCACCACCCACGAAAAAGTATGAAATTAAACATAAAATACTCTATAAAATTGTTACTGCTCAAACAAACTATAATTTTCATAGCCTTCAATTTTGTTTTGTTACAGAGCTATCGAATAGAAAAATCAGACCCCCCTCCAGTCACACCCACCCATCACATCCTCTCTTTCACAATTGATTCTCTCCTACATTTTATTATACATTACCTATAACCAATAGAAAGTAAAGTTTTTCATTCATCAAATGACATATTGTATAAGGTTGTATTCTGAACCGAATATAGTCAATTTCACTCACAGTACAAGATTCATTCCCGTGGGAAATTTAACAACTAGCTTAGATGAATTTGTAATGGCTCCTATCGCAAATTATAAAGCAAGGAAAAGAGAGGTAAGTGAATTTGTCTACTTTTTGCATGTTATTAGTATTATATTCTTTGGTGCATTATTTTGTTAAATAAAAATTAAGTGCATTACTAAAATGGTTCACAAGGCATGCACGGGAGCAACTTGTGGATAATGTAATTCGATAGTGTGATGTGAGCCGCACATTCCCCCACCGAGTGATTTACAACTTATAATAACAAGAATAGTAGTTAGACATCGTTCAAAATGCAATAAAACAATAAATTTAATAATAAATAGATATATACTGTTACAAACTTAGAGCTACTTAGGATAAAGAACTGCAGTTTCATGGTACAATTTGAAATCATTCTAGAAAGAAAAAAAAAAAAAAAGGAAGTAATTTAGGTTTATTTCGATTTTTTTTTGGTCGGTTAAAGCCCTTTAACTCTCTCAACACATGCTCAGTCAATTTGATCGACCACTTGACCTCCTTTTACTCATTTAGTCCTTATAAATTAATATTTATAACTCAATATATTGGGTACATCTTCACGAAATTTGGCAGTCTTTCAGTTAACATTACAAGTCTTTCAGATACAAAAGAAAATTTAATTTTTTAGTGAAGTATTTTTAATAAACCAAAAGAAAGATTTGTCCATGAATATATTGAGTATTTGTTTTGAATAGTAGTCGTGTGCAATGTAATTTTCATGTTAAGATTAGAAATACTTTTATTCATCTCAAACCTCTCAAATTTCCTTTGTGTAATCCCTAAAATCTTCTCAATACATTTCAAACGTTTTTTTAAGTAAAACTTTATATTTTACCTGTTATTTTCTCCACCCTATCTCTATACAGGATCGGTCAATTTGACCGACCTCGTAACCACCAAAAAAAAAATGCAAGTAAATCTAAATTACCCCCCTTTTTTTTCTTTTGGAAATGACTTCAAATTATAACATAAAAATAAATGCATTATCCTAAATAGCTTTAAACTTGTAACAGTATACTTCTATTTATAACTAAATTTTATTGTTTTATTGCCCCTTTTGATTGTCCTTTGAACCATGTCTAACTACTAATCGCACCATTATAAGTTGTAAATCACTCAGGGAACATGCAATTCATGTTAAACTATCGAATTATATTACCCATAGGCTACTACGAGCTACTTGCATGCATGCCTCATAAAACATTTTTTTTAATATATTATTTATTTTACCAAATTTAATCTTAACTAACCTAAAAAGATCTCTATTTTTTTATAATTTTAACTGCTTTATAACAATAAATAAAGAATAATTATGAAAAACAAGAAATAAAGTACTTACCCAATCTTCTTTTTTCTTGCTCTCAATTGTCAATGTAAGTTAACCCTATTTTTTTTCTTCTTTTTATACTAATGGTAGTAATGCACTAAATTTTTATTTAATTAAATAATATACCAAAGAACATAGACTAATAACATGCAAAAAGTAATTTCCCCTAGCTCTCAAAATTTTTCTGCCTTTCTAACCATGCAACAAGAGCCATTACAAATCCATCTAAACTAGTCATCAAAATTCCAATGGGAACAAGTCTTGTACTCTGAGTGAAATTGATGATATTCTGTTCAGAACACAACATTATAAAATACATCATTTGATAAATGAAAACTTTGCTTTCTATTGGTTATACCAAAAATAGGAAATTAAATGTAAATTACTCCCTATAAAATTTTATTGCTCAGACAAACCAAAATATTTATAGCTTTCAATTTTGTTTTGTTACAGAACTATCAAATAGAAAATCAGACCCCTCCTACCACCAAGGAGTGGTGAATAAAATAGAGAAGAGAATATACCTAGAGAAAATGTGTTGTGTCACTCTAGGGGAAATTCAGGATTTTTTAAATATTGCCTTATAGAATTAAGAATTTAAAATTTATATATTATTAAAACAGGTTATTAGCTAAGATTTTATGCTATACTAATTGGCAACAAGGTTAATGACTTCAAAGTATTCTGGATTATAATATTCACACGTATATTGACTAAGAAGTTAAAAAAACCTTAACAAAAATGAAAAAATTTTCTAGTTAGAAAATAATGAAACCTTACATGGTTCCAAAGCTAGAATTCAGTGATTTTTTCTTCATTACAAAATCTATTAAACCTAAAAAACTGTTAAATCAACACAATATCTTAAAAACTTCTAGCTTATCCCTATCTACCTGGGCATCATTTACTGCGTATGTCACGAGGCTTTAGTGACTTACATTCAAAATTTTATTAAACTACTTTTTATTTATATTATGCCAATTAGTATAAGGTACAGAAAATAATAGATATAATATAAATTTAATAAAAACAAACATTTGAAATGTACTTATGAGGTTTTAGAGATTACACGAAATTTGAAATTTTTTGAGATGAAGAAAAGTATTTTTAATCTTAACATGAAAATCATTTTGCACACTGATTATTCAAAACAAAGTGTTGAAATACTAAATATATTCTCAGACAAATCATTTTTTTAACTTATTAAATATGATTTTTTGTATGTGAAAGACTTGTAATGTTTACTGAAAGACTGCCAAATTTCATGAAGATACACATACTATATCAAAAGTTAGTAGTATCACATCTATAAAGACTTTAAATGAGTACAAAGAGGTCACATGGTCGGTCAAATTGACCAAGCCTGTATTGAGAGTTAATAATTTGCAATCACTACTCACTGACTCCTCAGGATAACCCATCCCCCCCATTCTTTATTTGTTTAATAAAGACTTCTATTTCAAATACTGATTTCTACTGACATTCAGATACTTAATTCTGAGAGGTGGGTAGAAACCTGTTAGCAGTGTCAAAAATAAAGTCTGCTACATTACACTGAAAATTTGCCTATCACGGCTGTTGCAGTAAAAGCCACTACCAGGTAGGTAGTCTACCTGGTTCAACATTATGCGTTGTCTGACATACTGAAAAACAGTGCAAGTTATTAGTGATTAATATATTTCTAAGGTATCATGTGAAAGCTACATTTACCTTATAAAAAAAGTATACATTCTATAAAAGTTTTAACTTACTCTCAAAGAAGTGTTGCTATCCATTTTATAGACGCAGCCCATACCAATCGTTGTTACATTACTTCCAGCATTCCACGCCAGCTGGACGGCAGTTTCCAATTTGTCATTGACTTTTTGATATACAGAACCACCAAACTCCTGTCCATCATTCCTTCACAGTAAAGTATGGGATTAACATTTCTAACTTAAGAGACAAAATCATACATACATGATACTTGTAAAATGACAAAAATAATTTCAAAATATAAAATGTTCACTCTACGAACATTTCTATTAGGCATATTGCCACCTACAACTGCTGCATATAAGTAAGGTTACTGTAAAACAGATTCTTACATCATTCAACTTTAATTGGTTCAACAGTGTTTCTCAAATTGTGGTACATGTACCCTTGGAGGAATACTCAGTGATCATCATAGGGGTACATGAAACAAAAGGTGGAAACAGAACAAATTGAAGAAAAAAAAACTTTCTGAACACCATTCAAAAAATAATTAATAAAATATATTTTTATTTTCAGTACCAGAATCATGGGAGTGGGGATAGAAACTTGTATTAAATTTGGAAAAAATTAAAGAGAAATACACTACACAAGCCAATTTTTCTGAAATTCAAAGATCTGCTCCTTTATCTCTAATTTGTGTGTGAACACTGAAGCTTGATGTCAGTGTATTAACTCCACTCTTTAATACAAACACTTTATGCTCTTGGTGATAAGCATCATGCTACTTATTAAACATATACAACACATATTTTAATCCACAAATGTTAGATTCAACAGAGTAATCACAATGGACATGGTTACCCTCAAGATTTTTTAAGTACTTCTTGTCAGATTTTAGCTCTACATTAGGTACTTATTTAACCATTATTCTGAAAAAATTCACTTATGCAAAATATCTAACTGAAGAGAAACATTAAATAATGAGATGCCACACTGCTATTAGAAAATGTTTAATTCTTTTCCTCAAATTACCAAATAAAACAATATAAAAACAATTATTTAATAGTTTACAATTTATCAAGATAAAATTTTACCTCAAGAACAATTCATATTTTTAAATTTGTCTTAGTCAGAACTCTTACTAAACTAACACATCATGCCAAGACATACGTAACAAAGAAATATATAAAAACCTATCTTCAGGATGACAAACAAATAAAATACTTACACATTAGTGTGAAGTACAAAATCATTTGCAGAGTACCCTACAGCAAAGTTGGATTTTGTAAGTTTGCTCTTAGCTGTGTCAAAAGACAACTGTGCACCTGCCAACCACCCCTGGTAACTAAAGCAACAAACAAAAGAAGAAAAATGACTATCAAGAATGGTACACATTATAAAGAAATAGCATTAATTAACATTTAGAAGATTCAATATAAGGAATAACTTTATAAACCAGAAGCATTTACATAATGTATCTTATATATGCATACTAAACAACATCTTATGTGCTGAAAACTTTTAACAGCTTTATTTTTTCCTTCAAACAAAAAAAAATTAGAAAATAATCTTATACAAAATTGACAGTATCTACACAAGTTCATTGTTACCAGATAGCATATTTACTTACTGAAGTACAGCTGCACTATGCACCACAGGTCCACTAAGACTTAAATCCATATCTGTATTAAAATGAAGATGGTCCATTTTATACGCTCCTTTCATTGTGCCAGACTTCTTCCTGTTGATACAAATTCCCAATACAAAGTAAAATAAAAATAAAACAAGTTTACATAGTTTCTTTAAGTTATTTGGACCCAGAAAATGTGAACAATTGACAAGTTCAGTTGTTAGTATTGAAACTACTCCTAAGGGAATCTATTCATACTTACTTCACTATTGCATCATTAAATAAGGTCATGAAATCTACGAATTACAAAATACCAATACATTTTTTAAATTTAATAAAGAAATCTGAGAAGATTTGTTAATTGTAAACTGTTCACATTTTTCAGTTTTGTAATAAAATTTGAAGTAAAAGTAAAAATATTGCAAAAGCCTAATATTAAAAACAAAAGTACAACTAATTCCTTTTGAATATCATCTTGAAAAAAAATTAACTACTAATATTAGAATTAAAAAAATATTTTCTTCCAAAAACAAATACTATCTATTACTTATAAAAGTAACTCAAATCTTTCAAGACAAAAATATATGTAGTATCCTAACAATTTTGGATCATTAACATAGGATACATTGGTGGTTTTTGCTTAAAAGCTACCATTCACCAATAACTTTTTACTGATATTTTTCATTACACATTTCATTAAAAGAAACTTAAATGTAAAATGTGTAGAATGATCAGGTCCAATTAAATCAGTGCATTACAATAACACAAATAAATAAAATTAACTACAGCACAATAAATTCTGAAAAACACTAAAATACACTGGTTAAAAATCACCACAAGGGAAAAATAATTATGTAGTAAGCACAACAGATTGGAAAAATTATATCCACCAATCACAATGTAGGTTGTTTGATGTAACTTTCAACCACTATCTTACAGATTTAATAATTACTCTGCATTTTCAACTTTAACCCTATCGCCCTGGGTACCCTTTACTGGGCATGACAAGGGTTTGGTGTCTTAGATTCAAAATTTTATTAAACTACTTTTTGTTTATGTTATACCAATTAGAATAGCATAAAATCTTAAGTAATAATCCATATTTTATTAGTATACAAGTTTTAAGTTCTTAATTGTACAAGTATATAAAAAAAATTCTGAATTTCCACTAGCGCGACAAATTTTGTCTTAGCATAGTTTAGGTAAAATAAGTAATAATATTATAATTAAAATGGCTCTCGAGGCATGTACGCAAGCAGCTCGTGGGTAATGTAATTCGATAGCGTAACGTGAGCTGTACGTTCAACGAGTGATTTACAACTTATAATGGCAGGGATAGCAGTTAGACATGGTTCAAAGGGTAATAAAACAATAAAATCTAATTATAAATAGATGTATAATGTTACAAACTTAGAGCTACATAGGATAAACGAGTGTAGTTTAGGTTTATTTCGATTTTTTTTGGTGGTTACGAGGTCGGTTGAATTGACCAATCCCGTTTTGAGATAGGGTGGAGAAAATAAAACTATAAGGATTTAGTGAAAAAAACATTTGAAATGCATTTAGTAGGTTTTAGGGATTACACAAAGGAAATTTGAGATGACGAAAAGTTTTTCTAATTTTAACATGAAAATTATTTCGCACACAGACTATTCAAAACAAATACTCAATATATTCATGGACAAAACTTTACTAAGAAATAAGACTTTTTGTATGTGAAAGACTTGTAATATTAACTGAAAGACTGCCAAATTTCGTGAAGATATACCCAATATATATAGTTATAAGTATTAAATTTATATCAACTTTAAACAAGTACAAAAGGTCATGCGACTCGATCAAATTGACCGACCCCGTGTTGGAAGAGTTAATAAAGCATCCTACTTTCAAGTTTTACAAACAGATCATTTTCATATCTTCTCTAAATGAATTTCATCAGCAAAATATATCATACTGCATTGTGGGAAAAACCTTAACATTTTAGTGATCAATCATGTCCATACCCAAACAAGACCAGATAAACAGTTAAAACATCTGCTAATAAGTTATTTCTAAAATTTTAGCATTTTTCTTATTGCTAAATATTTCTCATTTTCTCAACTGGTACATTTAACAAAAGTATTAAAACCCTCTAAAAGTATTAATCTTTCTTTGAGTTACCCTGTAGACCTTAATTAGCAAGTCTTAACTAAATTTTACACATATGTACTCACCCTGTTTGGGGAGAAAAAGTTGTATCAAGACTAAGTTTAAGCCCCTTCACCAGCTGGTCTTCCAGTACAGCTTCAGTTGCTAATGTATTGTCAGTGTTCCATTTTTCTTTCAAAGTCAGGCCTAAAGTAAAACATTTAAGGATGCCTTAATCACTTGAAAATGTTATTTATTGGCATGGACCTATGAATCTTAATTTTTTAAACTTTAGGAAAATGATTATAAAATAAATATTAACTTTTCTTGATTCAACTTCTCCAAATTTTGTAAATAAATTTCAACTATTCTTTGATTCTTGTAACTATGAAGCCACTATTACACTGTTACATTCAACTGCCTGAAGCCATATAGTTATTAAATTTTACAATAATAATATTTTGATTGATCAACTACATTGATAATAACATTTACAATATGCCTCACTCAAAGACTTTCTAAGGTACAACTTGTAAAACTATCTGCAGGTTTAATGGCAATTACTATAAAAATTCTGAATTTATAAATAACTATTTTGTAGTTGCAAACATAAAAAATATACGTTTCTTGAAGATCTTTAGAAATTTAAAAACGAAATTTAAAACTTTTTATCTTTAGTATTAACCAAGTTACAAAACTGATTGTACTGGTTAATATTCTAGTAATTTTTTTATTATCAAATTATACCTAATTATTAGTGTTTTCACTGGGAACTCACCCATAACAACTGTTCTAAATTTACCACCCGGTTCTTAAAAAAAAGTTAGTCAAAACAAGCAAAAAAAGGTCACAACACAGTTACTCAATCATTCATTATACTCTCAAAATTTGCTTAGACCATACTAACATTTACCTCTTCCATTGACAATAATGAATATAGGAGACAAAGAATCAATTAAGTAACCAGCAAATTTTGAATAGTCCATTTAAATTTTTCTTAGTAAAATTATTATTAGCCACTTCACTACATGCAGTCAGTTCGTGATTATTACCATTTTGTAGCATGGCACAATCAACATTCTAGGAGAGAAATGAAGCCTATCACTCACAGGAAACTTTCAAACCTGAAGACTGTGAGATTTGCAATAGTAAATACCGTAAATTAATGTATCAATATGAATACGATCTTCCAAAAGTTTCTACATTTTTGTATAACTAGTTTAACTTGTTTCAACTGTAGCTAGCTGCTGCTTGTCATAATTTGAGGTATTAGGATGTGTTTTTGTTATGTACAAATATTGCCTGTGCAGCATGGGTATTGTTTAATGACAGTCAGCCAGGGTGAACTGATAATAATTACTTTGTTTCATTACCAGTTACCAATAAGTTAATAGTATTCAATCGAGGAAACAGTTGAAAGCTTTATACTGATATTAATTTCACGACAACTAAATCAGTGCTCATTACGTGAAAAGTTAAAAAACAGACAGATGTTTGTTTGAATTTGTTTCAGTAACTCATGCAGAATAGAGAGAATACACACAGTAGTGTATACTTTGCAGGCCTATGCTACAGTGTACACGATGGGTGCAAAACATTTCAGGGTTAACATCATTTTCATCTTTCATTTATAATTATATCATTTACTGTTTTATTTTACTTTTTCATCCAATCATTCATAACTTCTTATTATCAGCAGTTTTAGATTTGTTTTTGCTGAAAAACAAAGACAACATTGCATACGAAGTAAACTTAAACTGTGGGGTATCATGGTTCATATTGTCTTGTCTTTTGCATATTAGTGACTGTTGTATTGATAATGGTCAGAGGAATTTTGGTACCCATTCAAACACTACTAAATATGGTGAATGAGATGTGGTCATACTTATCTCTCATTATATATACACAACTTCTATTGCATTTTTTCATTTTATAACTCTCGATTGCTGAAGTGTGTTCAATCTACTCACCTGTTGTATGGTTTATTTTAATGCATTGTGTAAAAAAAAATAAAGATTCTGTAGCTTTCACAAAATAACTTATTTCTATACAAGATGTATGAACTTGCAGCTTCAAAAATACAAGATTTCATTGTGATATCTTAAGAAACAATTAAAAATGCTTATCTTTATTGTAAATTTCAATAACTGTTACATTCTTATAAAACTTTCTAATAAGGTTTTTATTTTATAAAACTAAATTTTATCATAGTTTTGATTTGAAAAATATTGCATGCAATTTCACTATATTTACAATTACTGGGACATAGTAAAAACGTTTACCATACCAAAATTATACGTAAGCCAACTTTAATTTCTGGATCAGAATGTTTCATTTAACATATACATAATATACTTTAACTCTGTCAATACGGGCTCAGTCAATTTGACCAACCACGTGATGTCTTTGTACTCAATCGAAGTCTTTATAGATCTGATACTACTAAATTTTAATATAGTGTGTATATCTTGACAAAATTTGGTAGTCTTTCAGTAAACATTACAAGTCCTTCACATCAAAAAAAATCATATATTTAGTGAAGTATTTTTAATTAACTAAAAAAAGATTTGTCCATGAATATATCGAGTATTTATTTTGAATAATTTGTGTGCAAAGTGATTTCCATGTTAAGATTAAAAATAATTTTTTTCAACTCTAAAATCTCAAATTTCATTTATGTAATCTCTAAAAATCTCTTAAATACATTTCAAATGTTTATTTTCAGCAAAACTTTATATTTTACCTGTTATTTTCTCTAACCAAACTCTACACAAGGTTGGTCAATAACATAGAATAACAACATGCAAAAAAGCAGACAATCTCTTCTAACTATCACAATTTTTCTGGTTTTTGAATTATGCGACAAAAGCCGTTACAAATTCATCCAAGCTAGTCGTTATCTTTCCCTTGGGAATGAAGCTTGTATTAAAAGAGAAATTGACAATTCTCTGTTCAGAACACAACGTAATATAATTCATCATTTGATGGATGAAAACCTTGGCTTTCTATTGGTTGAAGATAATATAGAATTAAACATAAGATAGAACTATTAACAAATCCTGAAGGAGATGTTGTGACATGTAGCGTGGTAAGAAGGGTTAATTTTCTGTTTGATGGCTCTGTAACCAAACAAAATTGAAAACTATAAAAATTGTTTTTCTGAGCAATGACAATTTTATAGTGAGTAATTTATGTTGAATTTCATACTTATTGGATGGTTGGTGAATAAAATAAAGATGGGATGCCTACTGAAAAGTTATCACCTTTCTCACACTAGACAAAATTCTGAATTTTTTAAAATATTGCCTTATAACATTAAGAAGTTAAGACTTGTATACTATTAAAATATGGATTATTAGCTATGATTTTATGCTATAACAAACAAAAAGTAGTTTAATAAAATTTTTTAATGCAAGTCACTAAAACCTCGTGACATGAGCAGTAAACAATGCCCAGGCAGATAAGGTTAAACCTGTTTTATATTCATTTATGTACATATTTTTTGAAATCCTTTTTGATTATTTTTTTGTCCATTCAAGCATTTATTTAGGTCAATAGGGCCTAATATAAACATGACCTAACAAATGGCAGTCTTGTCAGTGAAAGAAACTATGCAATCTAATGCAAATAATCTAACTAAACCTAAACGATTCTCTAACTATTCATGTTTCACACAAAAAAACGTTGTTCCTATTGTACTGCAACATTTTAATTAATTTCAAGTAAGGAATTATAAAGCAATCTTTAGAAAATAAATGAGGACTAACTGTGGTGAAAGTTTGTCACAAACACCTTTTCTTCTAGCAATGTATCACAAATCTCTGCCTTTATGACTTTCTGATCCCTATACTAGTCTTTGCTGAACAGGAAGTCAGTAATTTAAAAAGAAACCTTCATTATTGTTTAGATCACTAACCTATGAATTTTCAAAGCTGTAACATAAGCAATAACATCACACCATAACAACCAAGGTTGAGAAACAGTGATTGGCTGAAACTAATAAAACTACACATAAAGTCAAGGTCCAACATACCACTATTTTGTTCAAAACTATTAAAATTTTCTTTTGTTCAGAGCATGCTTATATCAACCCAAAATCAATACTTGACATGTTTTATTGAATACACTTAATCTCTGAAGTATTGAAAAAAATTTGGAAGAACATGTACCAGTACATTTCATACAATTTTTATCTATGGTATAATGGGTCCAGTGTGACAAGTGCCAAAGAATTAAACAACCACTCTTAGGACAAGTTTTAATCATATTATTCTTCTGTATTTTGATAAAAGATTACACATTCTGCAACTTCTGTAAAAAATTTACCTTATTCTAATTGTCTGAATAAGAAATGTTAAATATCTTAATAACAATATTGTGCTTTTTAACCCTGTTGCCCGGGTACCCTTTACTGCACATGACACAAGGTTTTAGTGTCTTGCGTTCAAAATTTTATTCAACTACTTTTTATTTATGTAATATTGATTAGAATAGCATAAAATCTTAGCTAATAATCCATATTTTAATAGTATACAAGATTTAAGTTCTTAATTCTACAAGGCAATATATAAAAAAAATCCTGAATTTCCACTTGTGTGACCTACGCAACACATTTTGTCTTAGCATGTCATAATCCCTATTTTATCCACCACACCTCAAAAATGTACAAAATTAAATGTAAAATACTCTCTATAAAATTGTTATTGCATAAACAAACCATACTTTTTAGTCTTCACTTTTATTTGGTTACAGAGCTATCAAATAGAAAGTCAGACTGCTCCTGCCACACCCTCTCTTTCACAGTTTGTTGATAGTTCTCTCATGTTTCATAATGTATTACCTATAACCAATAGAAAGTCAAGATTTTCACCTATCGAATGACGTATTGTACAATGTTGTATTCTGAACAGATAATCATCAATTTCACTCAGAGTAGCAACATCATTCCCGTGGGAATGTTAATGACTAGCTTGGATGAATT